GTGGAAACCGTACTCGCGAAAAGCACGGCCAGAGCTCACCTTCACATGCCTCACCCTGCCGCCATCACTGCTCTGCACACAGCGTTAGGCGCACAGGAGCCCGCCACAAGCAGCTCCGCATCAGGGGGTTTTCCGCTGGTTCGTATACTGGCGCGGTTTTGGCAGTTGCGTGGCAGGAGCACCACCTAGGTCAAGCACATTCTCCGGAGAGGCCCCGGCGAGCGGAAGGCTTGGGGGAGTCGCCATGCCATTTTTGCTGTTCCGACATATCATGGCCTCTGAGCTCTGCCCCGTCTTGAAGTTTGTACACCACCAGGCCGACCTGCTGTGTATTTGGCGCCCCACCGAGGAATCGCGTGCGCGAGGGCGGCAGCGAGGGTGCCGGTTGTACTTCTTTAATGCGACCGGCGCCCTCGGCAAGCATGGCCACTCCTACTCCCATTTCCTGGACTGCGACGCCCTGTTTGAGCTTGCACCGGGGGACTTCACTTATGAAGCACTCACCCGGCAAATTTGCGGCCTCGCGGATAGGTATGTGGAACAAGTGGTCCGCTCCGCCCTGATGGGCGTGGCCTGCGAGTTTGTTCGACTCTCGCCTGAAGTCCACGCCTTCGCACAGAAACACCTGGCCAAAGTCATCCCTCATGCCGATATTGAAGTATGGCCAGAACCCTGCGGGGCGGTGACGACGGCCGGGTCGACCCTGCTCCAGCAAAGGGAATCAAGGCCCTTAAGCAACAGTGCTGCCGCCGCCTTATCAATGGGCTTGCTTATCAGTTTGAAGCCATGTCGGCGGAGGCCGCAATAGAGGAGGAGCCACCAGCGCAGTTCCATCACGCCACGCGAGCCAAAGGTGAGAAGGGTGCTCCCTCACTCGTGCAACTAAAACCTGGGGTCAACGGGTGGCCGGTTCGGTTCTTGCACAGGGGAGTCAAGCCTCGATGTCCCAAACCAGTCGACATAACATCCAAAACCCAGCACCAAAGCGGGTCAAGCCTCGACGTCCCAAACCAGTCTTCACAACGCCCGAAACCCCCAGAGCAATGCAGCACCGAAGGGGTCAAGCCTCGATGTCCCAAACCAGTCGACATAACACCCAAAAACCAAAGCAATGCAGCACCAAAGGGGTCAAGCCTCGACGTCCCAAACCAGTCTTCACAACGCCCGAAACCCCCAGAGCAATGCAGCACCGAAGGGGTCAAGCCTCGATGTCCCAAACCAGTCGACATAACACCCAAAAACCAAAGCAATGCAGCACCAAAGGGGGTCAAACCTCGATGTCCCAAACCAGTCTTCACAACGCCCCAACCCCCAGAGCAATGCAGCACCAAAGGGGTCAAGCCTCGATGTCCAAAACCCGTCGACATAACATCCAAAACCAACAGCAATGCAGCACCAAAGGGGGTCAAACCTCGATGTCCCAAACCAGTCTTCACAACGCCCCAACCCCCAGAGCAATGCAGCACCAAAGGGGTCAAGCCTCGATGTCCCAAACCAGTCGACATAACACCCAAAGCCCAAAGCAATGCAGCACCAAAGGTGTCAAGCCTCGATGTCCCAAACCAGTCTTCACAACGCCCCAACCCCTAGAGCAATGCAGCACCAAAGGGGTCAAGCCTCGATGTCCCAAACCAGTCGACATAACATCCAAAACCCAAAGCAATGCAGCACCAAAGCGGGTCAAGCCTCGATGTCCCAAACCAGTCTTCACAACGCCCCAACCCCCAGATCAATGCAGCACCAAAGGGGTCAAGCCTCGATGTCCCAAACCAGTCGACATAACACCCAAAACCCAAAGCAATGCAGCACCAACGGGGTCAAGCCTCGATGTCCCAAACCAGTCGACATAACACCCAAAACCCAAAGCAATGCAGCACCAAAAGGGTCAAGCCTCGATGTCCCAAACCAGTCTTCACAACGCCCCAACCCCCCAGAGCAATGCAGCACCAAAGGGGACAAGCCTCGATGTCCCCAAACCAGTCGACATAACATCCAAAACCCAAAGCAATGCAGCACCAAAGGGGTCAAGGTTTGATGTCCCAAACCACTCTTCACAACGCCCAAACCCCATGACTTCATGAGTACTTGATTTTTCAGCCAAGTTGCTGCAAAGTCCCAGACCAGCTTTGCTGGGCAGCCAAGTTGTTGTATGTTCATCGCTGATGCAGATTTTGTTTTGCATGTGGGAACAGCACTTGCCTGAGTGCTACATCTGCTCAAACTATGGCACGTGGATGTATTGAGCTCGATGCCTCCACATCCCCGGTGTGCTTGACGATGTGCGCGCTTTAACACGAGCGTCATTTACTGCTTTGGCATCATCTGTAGTTGTTTTAATTTGATAGTAATGACGAGACCTTTGGCAAACAGGAGAGCGGAATGCTCTGAAATCTAGCAAGGATCTCGAGTGAATAGCTTCGGTTGATAGTTGACATGTCAATATTAAAACAAATTCTTTGTTCGAAGCCTCAGAAGCCTGGAAAGTGAATCAAATCAAGATCTTTTGACGTCTTGAGATGCTCAGTGTTAAGGCCAAAAGCTTTCCTTTCGATCTTGAGGAGCTTTTGAGACTTAAGATCAAGCAAAACCTCTTCACCTCGATGGGGAGTCGAGCATCGCTTTTCAAGACGCCTTCAAGAGGCTCTCAAGAGGCTCCTTGAACAAATTGCTTGTCAGGAAGTCCTGAAGAGCTCCTCGACCTTTTATGTAAGTAGATCAAAGAAGCTTCAGCCTTTTGAGCCCCCTTCATATAGGTAGAACAAATTCAATCATGTTTCGGGGGGCTCAAGAAGATTTTTAGCCCTCACAACCCCTTCATCTACGTAGGTCAAACTGCTTCTCCAGAGGTCCTCTTTTAGCTCTCTCAGCCCTTCATGTAGGTCGAACAAAGTCATTTTGAAAGCTTGGGGAAGCCTCAGCCCTCTCGGAAGATTGGGGGGATTCAAGTTCATGCCGTGCTGTGGGTGATACGGCGCCGAGCAGGATACTTGGTGGCATCATCCACTTGTATGTTCTTTTTCCAGTCAAGAAGCCAGGTAGCAAGCAGTCCCCAAGCCCTACTGACCACCAAATTCACGCTGGTTAGTTGCAGAACACATGCCCCGATCCAAAAAGCTATGTATACAGCTAAAGTTCTCAGCAAACACCTTCAAACTCTGCTGTGAGTGCTGGAAGCAGAGTGCTGAGACTTGCCCTCGATGCTGACCCCAAACGAAGCAAGCTCTGAGCCTTGTGTCAGCTTGTATCTCAAAAGCCAGGTGTGGATGCTCAGTCATTGTTGGCGGCACTCGTATTGAATTTGGAATCACGCCCGCCGCAACTTTGCTACAACAAGCAAATAAAGCAGCTGTGGCCAACATCGTGCAAAGATGACTTCTTGTCGGGGTTCTTGGCCTGCCCGGGTTTTCCAGCCATTCCAGCCTGAGAAACACAAGCGTAACACAAGAGCCATGCTATGTGCCCATGCCCAACATGACCCTGCGGACATGGTGTGCCATGACGCATGCCATTGAGGCATCGCAGTGAAGGCGCATGTGTCTGGCTTAAGTAGTTAGCTGCTGGACTGTTGGGCTGTTCCAGCATCCCCGTCGAAGGAGTATGGTGGAGTCCCGCTGTCCACTTGGACCAAAGCTGCGCAGGACAGTTTTGCAGCGCTTTGCAATCATAGAACATGGCAACACGATGTTCGCTTTGTGCTTTTCTTCCATGACATTGTTGCCCATTGATTTAGAGCGCGTTTGTCCTGTGCTTTTGTCTGGTGTGTGTGGTTGTTTGTGCCCAGGGGCAGTCTGCCGTGAAGGGCATGGACATAGTGCCTCAATTGCACGAAGAAGTGTCGAATGAACTTTCTCCCCAAACGCCCAGTAAAGCAGTGTTTGGCCGCGGTCCGGCTTGCACATGCTGGCAACACTTTCAATGATGAAGCACAAAGGCGGACGAGGCAAGCAGAGGCGCAACGATTGCGGAGAACCTTGTCCGAACTGTCGTGCTCCCAGTTGTGGCTGAGCACCATTGAAACTGCAAATCGGTGGTTCCTTTCGGAAGAAGCCAGCAAGGATGCCAGCGTGCTCGAGAGATTCCTGCGCAAGGCGGGAGCCCTGTGATCTTGAGCAATGATGCTGAACCCGTGGTGGGTCGCTGCCACATAGAACGCAAAGGCGGATGAGGGAAGTAAAGACGCACAGAATGCGGAGAACCTTGTCCGAAGTGTGATGGCCTCAGCTCCGGCTCTGATGGGCTGTTCATTTCGCCATGAGCTTCCTTGGCAGGAGCAGAGCAGCAAAGATGCCAGCGTGCTCGAGAACTTCTTGCGCAAGGCTGGAGTCCACCTCCGCATTTCCGCTGCCGCGTGACACAGCGTCCTTTTCTCGGCCTGCATGTCAAGATCTTGGAAGTTTCTGCACTGGCCAGCATACACCCAGCGGCGCCGAAGGGAGCATGGAAAGGCGCAAGTGTCGACCTGAGCAACCCAGTACATTCTTGTTCGTGCTGCCAAGACCAGATGGGGCAAGAATCTGTGGGAAGCTAACATTTTGCCGCTCTGAGTGACATCATCGGTTCACACAGGTCGTGTGCATGACTTAGGCCGCCGCCCATCGTCATACCTCCAAGTATCCAGCCGCAAGCTTCTGCTCAGGCGGTACCAGATCAGAGGTGATAAGCTGCACATTCCAAAGACTTGGAACACTTCAACCAGCTCCAAACTTGTGCTGCATTCCGCTTCAGACGATGCTGGCGCTGACTGTATGCCACTTGCTGCATGCTCAAACGAAAAAGCTTCTAGACACTGACAAATGAGTCACTCAACTGCCACGCCACACTGGGTCATACCAGCACTCCAGATCCTCCACTGGTAGCTGTCCTCCTACCATATGACCCTACGAACTAGCGCTGACACAGCGTAGCCTTGATTCTGCCTTGACGTGCCCTGCGCCGTGCAAAAGGGAATTCAGAGATGAGCTTCGCACCGATGGCTCCCGCTTGACCTGGTAAAGGGGCCAATGGGAGCAGGCCAGGGCATCTTCATCCCTAAACCTTAAACCCTAAACCCTAAACCCTAAACCCTAAACCCTAAACCCCAAACCCTAAACCCTAAACCTTAAGCCCTAAGCCCTCAGCCCTAAGCCAAAGAGGGGACCAATTTCCATTTTTTCCATTCAGGTGCATCAGCTGCTGACGGCCGCGTTTTCTGCCATGGCTGCGGGTCTCGGACGGCAGACGGCTTGGAAGAAATGTGCCGGCACTGATTGGTGTGTAACGGTTACGACCTCTACAACGTAAGGCCATGGTCGAAGGGGTGGAGCGCCCACGTTGCAAGCTCAGCCACGTGGACCCACAGGACCAAAGGACACGGGCATGCTGCACGGTTGTGTCTCAGAGCTGCGCCGTTATCTCGCTTGTTAAAGGTTGCACGGTCTGCGGCGCAACGGAGTGTGTGGAGATCACGGACGCCACAAACTTGGACATGCTTTGCTTGCTACACTTTTGGTTATGCTTCCCGGCCACGAGTCAGTGGGGCTTAGCAGGCTTAGCAGTTTCTGCTGAGATCTTCCGAGGCTAGGCTTCCAGTCACATCACCCACGTCTGCGATGCGGGCTTTGTCACTTGGATGGGCCCTCAGCTGTTTCCATCTCAGAGGCTGTAGCAAAGTACGTACACGACAAGTACACCATGCCCGAACATCTGGATGGACTCTCTGGGCTCTGCAAGGCGCCTCCATGCCTTCCAGCTCCACGGCACCGGCCACGTCCCTTCGAGTAGAGCGTGCCCGGCCTGTGCTTGTGTGCAAGCCCTCTTGGAATGTTTGAGTCTTTCTTTCAAGGTTTGACAGCGGTTTGCTGTCTCTGCAGTTCAAGCGAAGAAGGGCATTCTAGTGCCAGGTCGGTGACCGTCGTTGCGCTGGAGCGTCCAGAGGAGTGCATCCTAGAACGGGAACTGCTCCATAAGCTCTCAATGAGCTCATCTAGTAGCAGACACAACATCTGGCGCTTCGCGAGGACGGCGGCCTCTTGCTCCGTGTCCTGCCAAATGTCGTTGCGCGGCAGCGCTCCGGGGAGAGAGGGGAGACGGAGCCAGGCCGGGGAGCATTTGGAGCCTTGCACGGCGTTAACGAAAGCAAAGTAGTCCATCACGAACCCGAAACGACGCAGAACACCCTGGCTTCACATGTTTGTGGATTCTTTGTGGACTCTTTGTGGACATGTTTCTGCCGCACTCTTGCTGTGCTTCAGGGAGTCTTTCTGCCTCGCTGAGCTTCGGGGTGGAGGATGTGGACCAGGAGACGTGAGCACGTAGGCATGCTTTGCATACTTGGATATGAGCCTTTTCTGAGATGCGCAGCTTGAGGAGGATTGGGAGCTTCCGGCCGAGCCCGCATGCGATGCCTTCGTCTCCAGGCTGAAGGCCCTCGATGCCCGATATCTGATGATGTGTGAGTCTGTGACTCCCCATTCTCACCGATGCTCTTTGCACTTTTTCTGAAGGCATCACCTCACCAAACCATTTGTGGAGGGCACTGCGTCATCTGTGCAGAAGACATTGTGGAGGCGTGGCTCACACAGATTTGGCCATGGAGACGTGTGGCAGTGCTCGGCAGAGTTGTGTTTCAATGGTGATGCTAGGAAGTAGGGTGTTTGCTGCCAGCCGGAAAAGCAGGGGGAGACGAGAGAGATCATCACTTGCTGTATCTTGCTGTTGAGTGCAACTCGAGCAGAGAGAAGTCCACCTGCCCCTTGTGTCAGTATGGGACTCCCGTTGTGACGCTGAACTGCCAGCACGTTTTCCACGAGGCAGGGCACAATGAACCTCCAAGCCCTATCAGGCCCTGAACATGCACAGCTGACGCCCAGCAACTTTGAAGGACTGCATCCGACGCTGGCTCACCCGACGGCACACTTGCCCCACATGCAGGCCAAGTTTCCGATGGTCCTTGAGCTGTGATGGCAAATGTCCTTCGCGTGACAGGTTAGAGCTTGAAGTGGACGATGTTAGGCACGCATGCTGCCGATTGTGGACTGAGTGTCGACGCTAGCACACCAGGGTGATTGCTTCTTCAGACGTGCCAGGTATTTGCGCAGCATTGGCCTTAAAGAAGAGGCTGATGCTTTGGAGAAGGCCAATGCATGCCAATGCTTCATTCTGCTTCCCTGAAGCATCGGTTTGAGCGGGCCTGCCGCTTCCCTGCTGCAGGTGAAGCAAGAGCGCATGGCCCAAGAGCAGCAGCAGCAGGCAGTTCAGTCGAGTGGCATTCCTGGGACCGTTTGGCGAACTGCCTGGCTTGCTTTCTTCTACTTCCTAGGATTCCTTCCTCTCTTCATTCAGTAGCACGGTAGCACTATGCTAGCCAATGTCGGTGCCATGCAGGCTGCAGAGCGGCGCAGATGGGTGGAGCCAGCTGGGCATGTTTGTGCCCAGGTTTGACTGTTTGCCCTCTTTGCTTCGCAAGGTCCTGTGCCCGGACGGAGTTGAACCAGTTATTGTAGGGCATCATGGGGCAGGTCTATGCGCAGAGGTGAGCCTGTTCACTTTGGATTGGTTTGTGGCTCCTGTCAGTTGCTCGGAATGTTTTGCTGTGCTAGCCCACTTTGTCCGGAAGGCACTCAGCTGCTTGTCGCTGTATGAAACGCTGAGGCGCTGTTTCGCCGGTGGTGGGCGACTGTTTCCGCTGCAAGGATTGTGAAGACTTTGTCTTGTGCCTGGCACTTGGACTTGGCCCTGTTGCCCTCGCTGCAAGCATTTTCTGGACGTTTGGCATCGTTTGGCTATCAGGTGGCGAGTGCCACAAGAACTGTGAGGACAAGCTGGTGAGCAATAAAACTGAAGAGCGGCCGATTTGACGCTTGGGCATTGCCAGGAGTGGCATTCGCCCACTCACACTTTCGCACCGTTTGGTGTCATGCCAAGTGCAGATCTCGATTCTATTGTGTGTACTGCGCCCATCCTTTAATCGGCTGGCATAGGGTGTGTTACTTCACAAGGTCAAGGCACCTCCTTGAACCCCTCGGCAACTTCAAACACTGGAAACTTGCTGACAGCCAGGGTCCTAGGGGAATATGGGCATGGAAGTTCTCCGCAAAGTCCCAGAGTTCTCCAGCAGTTTTTGCAGGTCCTGGTGCCCCCGACGGCTGTGTCATGGCAGAAAGTTTGGTTGCTTTTGGGAGTTTTGATTGCTCGAGGTTTCTTCCGGGTTCCGTTTCGCTTACCTGTGCCCTGAGCCCGGGCAAGGCGCGGCCGCCGGTGGAAGCTCCAGAGACCCAGACAGATTCTTCGGCAGCTGCCGCGGAGGCGGCCGCACGGTTGTGATTCTCATAAGCCCTCAGAGTCCGGGGGACCTTCATGAACAGAGCCGGCCTTCGCTCTCGCCAAACCGCATGCCAAAGCGACCTGACAGCTCTTTTTTGGACCGTGATGTAATGATGCCCTCAGTGTTAGCAACATCGCAGTGGCACTTTCAACCACACTTTAGCAGTGTGTGCATGGGTCGCAAAGGACAGGAGCCGGGAGTTTCCTGCATGGACTTGAAAGGGCGCCGTGAGGGAAGAAAGCCGCCCTTCATGGCTTGGCCGGCTTAGCTCGGTGAAGCTTCAGATCAAGGAGGATCAAGGCAACCATGCAGTACCGCCTCGGATGAAGCCTTCCAGCACACGGAGCTCCACGCGAAGTTTCGGTCTCTGTACCAATGAGAGGAGTGAGGCACGCTAGGAAGCATTCTACCTATGCTTGTCGAGTATTTCGTGCTTTTCAGTTTTACGGTTTCAGAGGAGCTCTTGGCTTGTCGGGTGCTTGTTGCGTGACCCCCTTGTGAGTGAAAGTAGTGGAGAATCTCGTTAAGAAGCGTAACCTGTTCCCAAGAAAGTCTTGCAACTTCTCTCCATTATTACCTCCTCTGAGCCTCAGGTGGCCTTTGCGGCTGTCCGATCTCTGGCGCTGGCCCCGCTTGCAGGCTCTGCAAAAATTAGTCCGGGGAAATCTTGTGCCGGGCTTGTGCAACAGACTGACTTGTGCAGCGGAAGAGAGCGAAACAAGTTGAATAAGCCAGGCCGAACATTCAATCCGACTTCGCCAGTCTCAGGCGAGTGCCGTTTGTGCAAAGTACAAGAAGTTGAAGGCTCTGCATCGTGTGTATCCCTGCTGTATCGGCAGTGAGTCTGAGGCTTCACGAACAGAGGAACCAGCACCAGCCTGCAATCAGGTCCGGGCTTCGGGAAAGGGCCCCCCCCCCCCCCGCGCTCGCTTCTCAAACTTCCCTCCACTTCCCTTCGCCAGGCAGAACCCGGCGAGGAGCGGCTCAGGGTCTCTAGTGACCAGTCCTTGCAGAAATGAGTCGAGGATTCAAAGGTGGGTTCATGTGTCATAAAATGTGCGATACGTGTAAGTGCCATATGTGGCATATGGTGGGTAGAAGCAACGGACTGGTCTGCAACTTCCAGAATACAACGGTGTGGCTCGTGGAAAGCTTCACCATGCCAGTCGTGCACTTTCAATTGCACCGCGTGGCTTGTCTGAGGCAAGCCACTTAGTAAGCAGTCCAGATCCTGCGGAATTCAGCCGATATCCAGCAATGCCATCAAGACAGAATTCGATGCAGGATGCTGAATTCTGCAGGAAGACACAGTCACCAGACTGCAAAGCAGTTGGCTATTGCTTGACAGGTCACCTTGATACCATACGGAAGGACATGGATGCGCGCGTCAGGAACCTCTAGGTACCTGTTGAGTGTTGGTTGAGTCGACCCGCTGCGATGCCTGAGCGCGTCAAAAAGCGCTAGCGGCCTTTGTTTTGTTTGGGTCTGCGAAGGGCGTGTTGTGCTGTGTACCACTGTGTACCTGAGCCGCTTACAGGCGCAGCACGACGATGCCATCCTGCGCTCACTTGTGGCACGAGACTTGTCCTGTGCCCAGCCTCAACATTTCCTCCGCCATGCTTGGCTGTGCTTAGGCAAAGGGCAACGCTCGTCGGGCCCTCGGCGAACTTCGCGAAAGCAGTTGCTGTCGAGTTAGTAACTTGCTCGCTTTTGCTGAAGTCACGGCATGGCTGTCTGTTTGATGTTTTTTTGGCTCGGATGGAGCGCTGAAGCTTCTTGTCCGCCCCAAGTGTTCGCCTTTGCCGAACGCCCAGAGCATTCTTCCAGGGTCCCAGACTTGGTGTGCAAGACACTTGAGACTTCCTGCTCCTTGCCTTGCAGGTTGCAGTCAAAAATGGCCTTCCGTCGCCCAATTCTCTGCACCTTGGCCCTTGCTGCCGCGTGCGCGTGGCTCTTGCAGGCGCCAGTTCAGGCTCGAAAAAGTGTTGACTATTCCATGCGGCATTGGTAGCCAACACTGGTGAGACTCGTCCCATGGCTCGTGTGAGGAGGCCACCTTTGTCGTGCCAAACCGTGCCCTGAGCACTGTGGCACCTGGCATTGCTGCGGAGAAGACCCCGTTGGTGATCATGCAGGTGTCGATTGTTTTGGGGTCTTTTTTGCAGCAACCAGGTCCCTGTCCTGGTACCTGTACGCCTTGCATGTCCATGCTTGAAGATTGCTAGGCGCTGCCCGAGCCCCGCCCGAACGATGCCATGCTCCCTGTCGAGCTTAACCGAACGCGCACGCCCCAAAATCTGCATCCTCTCTGCATGTGGGGTCTGAGGGGCATGTTTTGAGTTCTGCGATGTTCGGCAGAGGTCGCTCTACTGGGGCCTGCTCCTGATTTGCATTCTCTCGGTCCTCTTCTCCAGCTACTTCTTCAACTGAGGCACGTGCTTGGGCAAGCTATGCCTATGGCAAACTCTTCCCTGTTCAGTCACTCCTGCACGCCTTCACACGCAAGTCGCAAGGCCGGAGCAGCGGGGCATTGCTGCAGCGTGCCTGTCAGGCTTGTGCCTGACCATGCAAAGCAGCACCCTGTGCACAAGGCTAGTGGCACAGTGATTTTAGGTGCTTCCACGAAGGAAGCCGGTCAGAGCAGAAGCACAGCAATGCGTCGACGTGAGCGCTGAAACCTGGTGCGAAGCAGAAAAAGAACCATGACACCATGAATTTCAGCACGTCGGGAGCCTGGAGGCCCATCAAGTTCTTGTAAAATGGTTGGGATATAAGGGCATCTCCCAAAATAGGGGTACCCCTTTATGCCCAAATAGAATAGAACCCCCTTGCGAGGACCCCCAAGATAGGATTGAGGGTTAAGACGTTGCACCAGAGGCCTGGACGGAGCTCAAGTTCACGTGCAGGTGCGCCCTTCGGGTCAGAATACTGTCAGCAGCTCCATGCGACAATGAGTCGGACAGAATGATTGGACATTTTACCAGTAGTAATGCATGTTTTGCCAGTGAGACTAGTAATGGTCCTTGCAGCTGCTACGAACATGCCAGGCACCGCGTGATACAGTGCCATCTGGACAGGTGTTGAGGTTTGCTGACGGTCAGGGCCCCGGCCGCTCAGATGGTGCTTTCTGTGCGCCGCGGGGCCTTCGTATGGGGTCCTTTTGATGAAGGCGAAGGTGCCCGCGCACGTGCATGGGGTGCACCTACACACTGGGCCACGTTTGGGCTCTGGAACCGCTTGAGAAAAGCATGGCAATGACGTGGAGCACATGTTTTTCCCGAAGTGCAGGGCTGACTGATACTAAAAAACTCGTCGCCTTTGCTGCCGATGTATCATTCCTCCAAACAGTGTGCCAACAACATCTTGCGCTCAGAGTAAAAGGCCGTTATTACTCGAGCAGTGGTTGCATTCCGGACGAAATGCGTGCTGATTCCGCAGCGCTCTCGGGGCACTGAAGCATCGCAGATCACCTGCTCTTGGCTTCGTGCATGGTGTGTCGAATTGCGCTCTCGCCTGGGCCTCGTGCACAACTTCTGTTGTTGGTGGGTGGAAATCATGCTCTCCACATCTCTCCACAAGGCCCCGTGCACTTTTTGAGGCTTGCATCGCTCCGCGTCCTGAAAGCGTGGCAGCATCGACGTCGCCATCCTCGCAACTGTCGTCGCTTTTGGACATCTGGGTTCGCGAAAGGCAAAATTGGCGTCGGGGTTGGACGAATCGCGACTTTTGGTGAAAGTCGACTGTTCTGGTACAAACATAGAGCGTGGAGTTCGTCTGGAGCTCCAGTGGTATCGAAGTCATGAAGCGCTTCGTGTCAACCATGTGGTCTCTCGCTGGAGGTGGCTCAGCCCAGACCCCTAGGAACAGCGGGGTGGAGGCTTATGACACAGTGCATCGGAATCGGCTGTGACCGCCGTTCCCCCTCTCTGTTTGGGGGTCCAGTGCGTTTGGGGTGTAGGAGCCTCCCAAATGACAAATCTGGTGTTCAGCAATGCCCAGGTGCTCCGGGCCCCTCTCGAGGAAAAGCTGTCGGCCCCGTAGGCGCGGGAGGTTAAGACGGTTAAGACTTCCCTTGCTCGCCTTATATGGCATGACCCTGGCTCTCCGAGGCTATCCCCGCGGTGGTTATGCAGACTTTGGCCTCTTGGACAGCCGAGGCATCTTTGCTACATACCCAAGACCCCAACGAGGGACCTTAACGTAGAGAAGCTACCCAAGAGCAAGCGGCAGTTGATCGCGTCGTGAAGGCCAGATTCGCTCCGGTCTTCCCATGGCACGGCGAACTGTGCAACCAGACAGGCAGGGGCAGTACAGCATCTCGGGGGTAGATAGAGTTTGGGAGATCGTCGGGAGGTGAGTGTTCTTGGTTTTCGTGTTGTTCGCGCACGGCAGTGCAACGCAGCCGCGATGATTGTGTCAGAACCTGCGGGGATTGGTGGGGCTTTTGAGGTAACGGTTCTTGAAGTTTTTTCCCCATCGCCACTACCTTCCCTCTATCATTGCACATGCTTTGCTTCCTTCTGTCTCTCTCAGCTCTCTTTCTCTCTTTCTCTCTTTATCTCTTTCTCTCTTTCTCTCTTTCTCTCTTTCTCTCTTTCTCTCTTTCTCTCTTTCTCTCTTTCTCTCTTTCTCTCTTTCTCTCTTTCTCTCTTGCCCTCTTTCTCTCTTTCTCTCTTTCTCTCTTTGTCTCTTTGTCTCTTTCTCTCTTTCTCTCTTTCTCTCTTTCTCTCTTTCTCTCTTTCTCTCTTTATCTCTTTCTCTCTTTCTCTCTTTCTCTCTTTCTCTCTTTCTCTCTTTCTCTCTTTCTCTCTTTCTCTCTTTCTCTCTTTCTCTCTTTCTCTCTTTCTCTCTTTCGCTCTTTCGCTCTTTCTCTCTTTCTCTCTTTCTCTCTGTCTCTCTCTCTCTCTCGCTCTCTCTCGCTCTCTCTCGCTCTCTCTCTCGCTCTCTCTCGCTCTCTCTCGCTCTCTCTCGCTCTCTCTCACTCTCTCTCACTCTCTCACTCACTCTCTCACTCACTCACTCTCTCACTCACTCACTCACTCTCACTCTCACTCTCACTCGTACTCGCACTCGCACTCGCACTCGCACTCGCACTCGCACTCGCACTCTCACTCTCACTCTCACTCGTCTGAGGGCGGCTGTCTTACTTTGCGGGGGCAAAGCCGTGTCGCAAGCCGAACCAGAAGAGTTAAGGTACTTAAAGCCTAGTAACTTTGCCATCCCATTCAAGACGTTTACATCCTAATGACCTTATTCAAGGGTACTTATATCCTACCTTCACCTTCAAATAGCGGTACCTCCAACCCTACTTGTAAGGGAATTTCCGAACATAGCGGATAAGCTTTATTGGGGGGTTCTTTGCATGAGGATTTCAGTATTGTTACAGTATTGTTATAGTATGCTCATGGTGTTCTTATAGTCTTCTTATAGCATGTAGTACTCTTATCGTATTCTGAGAGTATTCTTATAGTCTCCTTCTCGTATCATTATCATCTTCTTGGGAAGGACCAAAGGGGGGTTAAAAAAGAGGGGACCCCTAATCTAGACCCTCGAATGTGTATGATCCCCTTCTAATATGGACCCCCAATAAGGTACCCCTAAACCCTAGACCCTAGACCCTAAACCCTAACCCCGGCCTAACCCCCCGTTCCGGCCGAAGGCCGAGGGGGGCTGCGCCTGGGAGAACCGGGGCCAGGCCTTCCCGCAAGCTTGCTTTGTTTAGGGGGTTTCGGGTTTCGGGTTTAGGGTTTAGGGCACGAAGAATAAACAGTAATAAGAACAATAAACATAATGGCTTGGGTTTCGCGTTTCGGGTTTAGGGTTTAGGGTTGCTTATTGGGATGTCTTACAGTCCTGAATAGGGATTCCAGTATCCTCTATTAGAATCCCTAGTAAGGACTGTCCGTATAAGGGGGAACATCACAAGTTGCTTGCAATAGTTAGGGTTTAAGATCCCTAAATATGCAGTAGTACTTGTGTCGCATATCACATTCTTTGTTGGGGGGGTCTGGGGTTGAACGGTACCTAAGAGTAAGGCCTTTTTGAAGGCGCAGCGGAATTTCTTAGAAGGTCCTGGGCCAGGTTCATCGTGCAATGAACAAGTTTGGAACGTCGGAAAAAACAGGTGCGCTTATGGTGTGTAACGGGATTCAGCTAGCTGGCCGGTCGCTCTCTTTTTAGGGGTCCTCGTTAACATGCTTATATGCAGGGTGCCCAAACAGAGACGACCTTGGCAGTATCACATAGAAAACTGACCTCCTAACACTTTATGCCTCTATGCCCACGGCAAAGTCTAAGGTCCAGCTACAAAGGATTGCAACATGCAGCCTCAACTTCAAACAAGCCTAAGCCCCAAACCCGAAAGCCCTACGCGGCCTACGCGGATTTACTGTTGTTGCAGATGAGGAGCGAACCTCTTATGAAGCTGTATTGCGGATAAGCCCACTTGGGTACCTGTCGCCCCACTTCTGTTGGACAAAGTCCAGCCCCAGAGAAAATTGGCATGGCTAAGAAGCGCCGAGGGGAGCGCCAACAAGTATGTCTCATGCAAATGTCTCATGCCCGGCGTTGTTGTTGCCATCGCTCTTGTTGCTGTGATTCTCTTGGTGCTGCTCCTGAGCCGCTTGTCTTTGAGCAGTCCTTTGTGATAGGTTTGTTTCCTAAACTCCCGAACCCCCAAACCCCCAAACATCCCCAAACATCCCCAAACATTCCCAAACCCCCCAAACCCCCCAAACCCCCAAACCCCCCAAGCCTCCGAAACCCCCGAAACCCCCCAAACCCCCCAAACACCCCAAACCCCCCAAACCCTGAAACCCTTCAATTCCACACCCAAAAAAGCCCGCCAAGAAGAAGCCCAAAACCCCCAAAGCCCCCAAAACCCTAAACCCTAAACCCTAAACCCTAAACCCAGGCATTTGGCTGCCAGCGAGAGCATGTGCATGTTAGTGGGGGGCTTGAAGGCTTTACCGCTGTGTACGATGTTGCATGGTGTCACCTACTTGAGTTTTGCTTTCTTTTTCCTTGTAGCCTCGTTGGCTACAACGCCCGGCATTTTGCAGGGCTTTTTCGAACCGTCCGCAGCCATGAGCGGACGCGACTCCGGACTGGGGGCAGAGCTCAGCCAGGCCTACCGCCACCTCGAGGCACAGAGGCAGGCCACACAGCACGACGTCTACAACGCCGGCCAGGACATGTGGTTCGACTCAAGACGCGCTGCTAAGAGAGGGCCCCCGTCCACCCTGGCGTCTACGGTCCAGTCCCATGCTACACCGCCCTCGGACCATGTCATGGAGACCGCGGAGAGGGACGCCATTGTGGAAGAAGGGGTACGCGACCCTCCGACAGAGAGGCGGACCCCTTCATCCCTCTTCCAGCCCATGCCCATTGAGACGGACATCGCCTACCAGATGACGGCTGCGCAAAGGGGC